AGGACAATACAACAAAAATTTAAACAGTAAAATACTACTTAATGTGCACAAAAGAGGATGAATCCACGTCTCTCTGGAGGTGCCGAGTTTCGCGGCTCGACTGACAAGAGCTCTTTGAGAACAAAAGATTAGCTTATCGCGACACTGAGTGAGTAATTTAAAAACTGTGTGTTGTGCCAAATGATTTCATTTATTTTATATATTTTCATAAATGTTAAACCAATTATATGAAAAATTTTATTATAACCATTATTGATCTCAGCGGTGATGAAATACATATTCAATCAAACCATGGTGCAGACATGGTTGACATGAAGACATATTTTATAATTAAATTGTCTCGTTTATTTTTACCCTAATGATTACGCCCTAACGATTATTGTTTATAATTTATACTTCTTCATTTGTAATTAAAGAATTTTATTTCTATAATTGGTTATGTATAAACTTTTTTTACTAAATTAACTTAATAAACGTAAATTGTTCAATAATGCTCTGCATACAGAGTTTTCTGTTACTATGTAATTTTTGATGATAGTATCATCTTCATAATAAATAAAATATTCACCCGGGCTTCACAATTTCTATATCAGAGGAGGAGACCGATTTCTATTCATTACCAATACTTTAATGGACAATTAAAACAGCCCTTAAATCGCTTAAGTCTATAACTTGTTAACCGTTAGTTTGAGTCAGCGGCCTTGACGCAGTCTAATCGCAGTTTCAGCCAATCAGTAGGCAGCGCACGTATGTCCTTTGTATACTGTTGTTATGTTATTTTGACAATAAATTATTCAACTAGTATATGTTACTTCTATTGCGGTAGCCAATCAGCTTCGAACACGGAAGTTCGATGTTTCAATTTGACATGTTAGAACTAAAGCTTCCTTCATAGATACTGTCATCTGTCAGTTTAACTGGCGTTGGATTTTGATAGCATTTTGTTTATAACTTATTTTCGATAAATCAAGTGGAATTTATATTATGACTGCCAGTATAATTGGAGATATAAGTTAAAGCTTTACGAATTGAATTTATTTAACAATTTCCGCGTAATAAGTTCAACAGTCGAGGTGTTCGCGTTCATTTCCTACAAATTGACAGATGAATTATCTCCGTTTCCCGAAATGAAACCTTGACTTGTGACCACTTCCGTAGAGTAAATTTTTGCCAAAAACGTGTGGTGAAATTTAGCTGTCAGACTTAAAGACTACGCTTCCTTACTTTTAATCATTAAGTGCCTATATTTAGGTATTTCTTCTACCTACCTATAGTATAAGTTCGCGCAACTTCTTAAACATGGTAGCGTAATAAACATTTTTGTTTTTCTGTATAAAGACTAAGGGTCCTTCAAGAAAAGAGGGTACCAATTCTTAAAAGGCCGGCAACGCATTCGCCTTCTGCGGTTTGACACCTGTTCTATAAAAATAAAATTTTGTTGAATTCTTGATTGACTTAATGTCCTAAATGGAGGGTCTGTTGTTCAGTCTTGAGCCTCGTATTTCACCTCACTCCAAGTCTTTCCGGCTCTCTGCCTAATCTACAAGTGTACGGCGCCATTATTAATCATTCTATATTGAGTATACAACCGGATGCCTCTTGTGTTAGGGTAAAAAAAAAAGAGTTGAAAAAAACTTAATATTACATATTGTTAACATAAACATAAGAATGCTAACGCCTAACGTATCGTATTTCGACATTATCAAATTTCATTGTCAAAACCATTTTAAACGCTCCATTTTTAAAGTACTTGGTAGGTGACCTATGTACTGGAAGAAACTGCTTTAAGCAGTAGACATCCACATCCTTCGTCTTCATTGATTTTATTAGGTATCTTCTGTTTTGTGTTATTGTGGTGTGTGTTAGTATTATGTTACGTATATGTTGTGTTTAAACTGAATGGTACCGACGCCTATTTGTAGGAATTCTAAAGATTTTTTAAATATTTCTGATTTAGATATAGGCTAATTATAAAGCGGGCTATAAATGATCTGTGATTGTCACTTGAGCTATACAATATCATTTATGATAATGAACTTTTAAATGTCTCGATTAAACATTTATTTATTCACAAAAATATATACAGTACAAAGCAAATACGATAAAGTCGACAAAAAAAATTAAATACATAATATACACATCGCTACTGTGAATTCACTCTCCGAAAGATGTATAACGTATGATGATAACGTGTTTGTTATCGGGGCTCTGTGCAACAGACTGTTCTGGCCCTTGGTATCGCAAACAACCTTGGTCTTCGCCGTCGCACATATCTCATAGGTACAAAACCAAGTTCTTGTAGAACTTGGGTTGCTCGTCGTTAAATATAATATATATAACTGTAAGTCACATTCCCAACATATAAAGTTATTGTCAATTGGCTGTCAGCGAGACTAAATTCTTATTTATAGCCGTTAAGATAAAAATGGAAAGGTTGGTCACCTCTGACAAGCCATTAACAAGAAAGCACAGTTAACGCTCTTCAATGCGACTACGAATACGTAATGTGTAATTATTTTTTTATTACAGCGTGTAGGTTCGTTGGCACTAATTATAATATTGAACCAGCGGGTGTTTTGCTTCAGTTACTTCTTGATCATTTTAATATTCTACGCTTTTTGGTAACGAATCTTTTAAATTACTTGCCTAAGCTGGTATTTGAACCAATTCGACTTAGAGTCCTTTAAGATAAGAGTGTACCAATTCTTAAAAGGCAAAGTACTTGCGAGTCTTTTAACAGTTTGAGTATCCATGGTATGAGCGTACAAATTCTTAAAAGGCCGGCAACGTACTTGCGATTCTTTTGACAGTTTGAGTATCCATGGTATGAGCGTACAAATTCTTAAAAGGCCGGCAAAGTACTTGCGAGTCTTTTAACAGTTTGAGTATCCATGGTATGAGCGTACAAATTCTTAAAAGGCCGGCAAAGTACTTGCGAGTCTTTTAACAGTTTGAGTATCCATGGTATGAGCGTACAAATTCTTAAAAGGCCGGCAAAGTACTTGCGAGTCTTTTAACAGTTTGAGTATCCATGGTATGAGCTACAAATTCTAAAAGGCCGGCAAAGTACTTGCGAGTCTTTTAAAGTTTGAGTATCCATGGTATGAGCTACAAATTCTTAAAAGGCCGGCAAAGTACTTCGAGTCTTTTAACAGTTTGAGTATCCATGGTATGAGCGTACAAATTCTTAAAAGGCCGGCAAAGTACTTGCGAGTCTTTTAACAGTTTGATATCCATGGTATGAGCGTACAAATTCTTAAAAGGCCGGCAAAGTACTTGCGAGTCTTTTAACAGTTTGAGTATCCATGGTATGAGCGTACAAATTCTTAAAAGGCCGGCAAAGTACTTGCGAGTCTTTTAACAGTTTGAGTATCCATGGTATGAGGTACAAATTCTTAAAAGGCCGGCAAAGTACCTTGCGAGTCTTTTAACAGTTTGAGTATCCATGGTATGAGCGTACAAATTCTCTAAAAGGCCGGCAAAGTACTTGCGAGTCTTTTTAACAGTTTGAGTATCCATGGTATGAGCGTACAAATTCTTAAAAGGCCGGCAAAGTACTTGCGAGTCTTTTAACAGTTTGAGTATCCATGGTATGAGCGTACAAATTCTTAAAAGGCCGGCAACGTACTTGCGATTCTTTTGACAGTGTGAATGTCCAAAGGCGGCAGTATGACATAGAGACGAGCCTCCTGGCGGTTTATTTGTATTAACTACTTTTTTATTAATATATAAATGGATCCCATAATTTAACTTAAAGTAGATACTTATTGTCTAAGCCGAACCCATAGAAATTATACTTCCATATATTTTTTTATATTCGTTCTTCATTAACTACCAGTATTTATTCAACACCTTCCAAGAAAAATTTAAATGGCAACAAATTAACGACTAAAATTAATTAAAATAGTAAATTCCAGAGGTAACCAACCTAAACGCTCGCGCAGCTGCGAAATTAGCCTTTTTACAAACATAGATGGCGCTGATGACATTTACCGACATAGGAAATATTGTAATTGATCTGCAATCATCATATCACCTGCACCTATATGATTATACCTTCACGTTTTATTATTACATAGTGTTTTAAATACATATATATAAAAAAGAGGTTTTAGGGGGTTATTTTACTATGGTGGAAATGCAATGCAACGAAATGTTTTGTGAAGGAACGTTATTAAAAATTCCTGTTTCTATTACTTTCAACAAATACTAAAAAAGTCTAATGGAGGCGATATTAGTTAAATTACTAAAATACATTGTGTTTATTTATTCACTTACAGCATAGAGATGCAATCAAAGTTTACCTATATCGACAAACTTTTTTCACCTTTGAATATATGAAATATTCAAAATAGTTGACTAATATCCAAGATAGGAATTACGCATGTATTTTAGAGTGAATTTCATGTATTTTGGCATTTTTTGACAGCTTTTACAGTGGTATTCGTTATGTTTCAGTAAATTCTTATAATTAATTATAATTATACACCTTAGGAAACACACTATTGGTGAAAATAAGGGATAAATTGCATACATTTTGAATTGCATCGAGACATAATTCAATCGTCACCCGTCAGCGATATCTTCAAACTTATCTCCATAAGAACCTTGACCGTTGGGCATTAATTACGAATATAGTACGCAACTTATATGAATAAATATTAGTACATAACTTGGCCACCAGAGGTCGACCTTTGATACAAATTTAATCAGCTTTTTACTTTTTAAATATAAATAAACAAGCAATTGATAATATGGATAGTCTGTTGGCTTTTGTTGATAATAAACTACGCTTTTCAGGTTTAAAAGGCTCACTCATTGCATGTTTCAATTATTAAAAAAAATGATAATTTCTGCAAATTTTAAGAATTGTTATTTAAAAACATTCATATCACTGTGTTCTTTTGTTTTAGATTATTTATGATTAACATTTAATTATCTTAACAAAAATCTTTAATCCACATGTTATTACAGGTCTAGAACGGGTGGCAGAGGAGTTGATGGGTCGAAGAAAATGGAAACTGTATCAAGACGCATTGATTCCAAAGCAGCTAGAGGGCGAGCAGTCAAGCGGAGACGAATCCATGCCTGCCACAGACCACCCGCCCGCTCTCAAGATAAAGACCATAGAGCAGATCAACGAGTCAGAGGAGGCCGACGAACCAGTCAGAAAGGTTCGTTCTTTTTTCAAATTTATCAATAAACATTAAACACTATACAGTCGGTATCTAGATTTTGATGCACGTGTATGTTGAAGCCTAAAGGAAGAATGAAATTAAACAGTACCAGTAACGTTCTTATTATAACTGTTTTTACTATTAGATATGGCAGAAAATAATTTTCTCCTTTTTAGTTATGATGTTATATTTCCTACTAAAAACTTGAACAAGGTATGCAGTAGCTACTTACCAGCTAAGAAGCTCTTTAGCTCAATAGAGCAAATTTGATGCTAACAACAGGTTTACAATGTAGGTCAAAATTGCTTTAAATTTTTCTTCAAGAAAGCCAAGAATGTAAAAGTTAATACTTGGTTAGATTAAAATATATTTTTACATAAATATTGTTTTGTATTATCTGTATCAAAGCTTCAAATGGGCGATGGGTTTTATTATTTTTATGGCTTTTGGCAGGCGTCAGACTTAGGTAAATAATTGGACACTCAAAAGAAATTATCACTTGACTGATTTCAGTCAGAAAATGTTTCTGGGAATTTTTAAACTGTCGTATATTTTTTTTTCTTTATCCTAGCCAACCTAGTTCAGAAGAGGTTTAATTTAAATTACAAACTTTTTCTTGAAATGTATCGTGTATTAAGCACGAGGCGATCACATTATAGATTTATCCTTTTCGGTATTATCTATTAAATCAATTATTGTTTACTCGTGAATCGAACCTGTGTGCTAGGATGTTCCATGTAAATGTAAAATTAAATGCACTTCATATATATATTTTTTTTGACGTTCATAAGTGTACATTGCGTTTATGACCTATATGAATAAACGGTTTTTACTTTTGTCATACTGGATTGATTTGAATATTAAGAAACCCTTACGATAGAGGACAAGTCTTTTTTTTTTTTTAATTTATGTTATTATTATTAATTACTTGATATGTCATGTGGGACATGGTGTAATGGTTGCAGCTCCTTACAAACGTTGTGTAAAAAAAATGACCATTAAAAAGAGTTTATTGCCAGTTTTTCTCTTCCGTTCTACGCCCTTGATTTGAGAATTATGTTACCTACATGATTAAATGATTTTTTTTATTATTTTTTTTACTTTTATTGTTCGATCGGAGTTTCCTAATTGCAGACTTTATCTTCTTATACCAAAAATGTATTGAAAAAGCGATAGAAATCAGAAACGTTTTAAAATTACAGGACTCAATCCTCGAAAGTCTTATCAAACGTCCGGCGACGGCACCCAAGGTAGAACCTCAGGAGCCAGCAGACTGGAAACCAGCAGACAAGTGCTACTTCTGCGTCGACGAGCGTGGAGAACGGACGGACAGGGCGGAAGGGGCGGACGCCAGGGCGGACGCTAGGGCGGACGTGAGGGCGGGCGGCGCAAACGTAAGTAACGCCTCGGAAATTCGGTTCGCATTTTCGGTGACCTAATTAATCTGATTGATGTTGAGGTCGTTATACTACCGTGAATGTGAAAGTTGGTTCGTGTTTCGTTAAACAGATAGTGCAACCAAATTTCTAGATTTTATATCACTAGAAATTCCTGTGACTTTATGGTATAGGATAGATAAAGAAAAACAAAACCCTTATGATTAACTATAATTTTTATCGTCTCACCTACTTCTAATGGAGATATTAAAATAATCACTGGAACAATTAAAGTAGGGCGGTTGATATATCTCGTTATTTTATTATAATATAACTACCAGATTAAATCCATAACAGCAGTAGGAAATCAAGTAATTTGACAATTGAAAATATAGTAGGTAGCAATACTAAAGAAACAGAGCTCATACCAATATTATTATATCAGTGACTGTCGTGGAAGCTAACGTTTGAAGCGAATAAGAATTAGTATTTAGATTTATTATTTACAAACAAAATTATTGCTGTAAAACTACAACACTATTCTGGACAAGTTAAGTCCAGCATTTTGCTACTTTGATTTAAAAAAATAACGAAGCAACGTCATAATATAAAAGTTTTAATAAACACATATGCCTGCAGGCAATTTAAATACATTTAATACGAAGTAAAACCTTGAAATTAACAACCACAATAAACCCATTCTTACGCAGCCATTTAGATTACTAAGCAACAAGTAATTTCTTTTTTTCCTATTTCAGCAACATTTCTAAACATACCATTGTCTAAATGTTTTCATTGAATGAAGTTTTCTAACGAAGAATGCCGGGGGCACGCGTAGTTAATAGCCTGGGTAGGAATTTTAGAAACAAAAGAGAAAAAAATGGAAGAATGCAAAAAAATTGTTTTACCTCAAACAAAACACACGTGAAATAGACAAAAGATTTGCTCAGAACTGTACGCCATTGTTTGGTGGTTAGTAACTTGTCATTATAATCTCAGAGGACATATGTGTTTATTGTATAAGGTAAAAAATCTATACCCTATAGCTATGATAGATCGCACAGAGCTGAAAATGCGGCGCCAATAGTTCGAAGCAATATTTCGTTTATTCCTTAGTTATACAATACAATATTAATAAGGTGACAGCCCTCTCCGTACTGGTTTTAAAACACTGTGTTACGGTAGGAAGGTTAGTAGGTATACCCAACAAACGACCAAAAATATTATTTTAACAGTACAAAAACCAATAAACTAAGTCATAAATGACTCCTTTTTTCTGTTATATAAGCCTAATATAAAAAATATTTAAGCTTGCCACAGCTTACACTTGGAGTCTATAGGAAAGTTTTTTCAATTGGCTATTTTATAATTGAATACGAGTGGTGCCTTATATGTAATAACTCTTCTAGCGAATGCTGCAAAAAGTGTTTATTGTGAAGTTTTTATTGCGAGTACAATTTTATATGCCTCGATTGAATCTTTAACTTAGCTTACTTAGAAATAGAACCTTCATCACGATTAACCATTCTCATCTTCAAACTTAAGTAATAAACTTAACTTAGATTTTCTAATATCAGCAAAATTTAACTCAAATTAAAAAACAAAATCGCAAATGCACACAATAAGCGGTTATGAACGAAATTATAAAAGTAGGTCCATGAAAATATGTTAAAAGCATGAGGAAAACCTTATTGGTACATGTGAGCTTTTTCGTCTAACATCAGAGCTTAGTTTTCTAAAATTTCGATAAATTAAAATCTTAAAGATTTTATGTAAATAGTTTTAATATACCTACCAAAAAGCCTGACCATAAATAACAAGCTTGTGTATGTTTAATTAGAAATGGATAAAATATAGTGTTCTGAAAATAATAATCAGTGGCGCTACAACCTCTTTAGGTCAAGGCCTCAGATTTCTGAACCTGTTTCATGATCATTTTTCAATCTAATAGTGTCAATCAAGTAGGTGATCCTGTGCCTGATACACGCCGTCGACTTTTTGGGTCTAAGACACGTCGGTTTCCTCATAATATTTTCCTTCACCGTTGGAGCGAAGTCCATTGGTGCCGCCGGGGATAGCACCTACGAGCTCAGGGATGAGAGTCGCAGGCTAAAGCCACTTAGCCAACAGTGCTCGTTCTCAAAATATTCATCTAAAATGACTTAGTTACGTGTTAATGGAATTATTCGAAATCAAAATTGACCATAACAAATTGATTTGCAGTCATTTTTCATTATGATTCAGAATTCTTAGATTTTAAACTTTATTATTATTTTTCAATCATTCGATGATTCAAAATGATAATTGTGTCCTTGGCCTTTTGTTCTCGTGTTAAATCATTATTAACCATTATATCATCACACGAACAATAGCTAACTATTGTTTTATTAAATTCGTGCAATTTGATATACGCAGAGCAGAGTTGGCTTGCTTGCTGATGCCAGCAGGTTAACACTGGGTACGACGCTCATCCCTGAAGTTGTAGGTACTCTAGATGGACCAATACCAAGCACCAATTTCGACTATGTGTTGCACTTTGCGTGTTGTTCCCACGAGAATGTAAGTGTGTGCTCCTATTTCACCATGCCTCCTGCTGATAGAGGACAAATCTTTGTTTTTAATTTATGTTATTATTATTAATTACTTAAAATGTCACATGGGACATGGTGTAATGGTTGCAGCTCCTTACAAACATTTTGTAAAACAAAAAAAATGGCGATTAAAAAGAGTGGCGGAGAGTTTATTGCCAGTTCTTCTCTCCCGTTCTACGCCCTTGATTATATGTAAAATTAGAAGCATTAATATATATTTCTTTACTGCCAAGTCATAAGTGTACATTATGTTACCTATATGATTAAATGATTTTTTACTTTTTTACAATGGACTTCCTGTCTATGTGTACTTTTAACACTCGAACGTACGTTGAAGGAAAAATCCTATTAGAAAAACAAATATTCTCGAAACAGATACAGAAATCCTAAGCCCTCAGAGGAATATTTAAAAGGCTGTAGCGTGATTCAATTCAATATAAAACATCACTGAATGAATTTGCATAATTATCATAGAATAACATAATTAGACTGTGACACATAGACTTTTGATTATATTTTAAATATTCATTTGTAGCATGAATATTTAATAATGCCTTCATCAATAAATAACAAAACGATTTAAATTTTCGTCAATCCCAACCTTAGTTAAAACGATAATTGTGACATACCTTTCCGTCAGTCATTAAATAGCTTTGCTCACATACTCCTATATGATATCATCATCGCGGTGACACTTTTCCGATGCTGAATTTGTTTTTTATTAAATACTTTCCCGTACACGAGAATGCGGTTTACAAGATATCGCAACCTAGGGACACCTAATTTATAAACATTGCTCAGCCCTAAGGGAGAAGTGATCTTCCTTTGAAACACTTGAAAGTTTGAATCTCCTTGGGAAAACCTCCATTGGTAGCCGATTCAATAGCTCCCTTGTAAACCTAATTGTGAAGAATTCAGAATATGTTTAAATTTTATTTTTATATAAACGAATTTTAGTTTGAATGAACAAGAATATAAATTGACATATGTTACTGACAAATTAAAAGTAAACTTGCTTATCATCACAATAAGTAATTAATTATATATTCATTTATAACTACAGTAAACGATATTTTAATCAAACAAAAAAACACATTACAAACGTCAACTGACCGTTTTTAAAAACAGTCTTAAAAAGGGCGAAAAACTTTCAAGTTTTGATAATATGTAAAAAGCTATATAAAAGCGAAGTGTGAATTTTATGATAGCATAAATAAGCGATATCTAGACTTTTTGATCTTATTTATTGTGACGGCTTGTAATACATAATTATGCACAATACAATTTGGTCACGAACTATGTAAAAACGCAATTATTAAAAAAACAATGAATATTTGACTATTGGGGCATCATTATGACTGTATTTTTTAATTTAACTGCAATATAGAAAGGATCTTGCTTAAGAAATAAGTAACGAACATTCTTTTGCCGCCATTGTGATGGGTTGGTATACAATTTAAAGAACCCTTTGATTCCTTCTCTTCTTTCGTGGCTAAATGTCAATTGTTATTCTGTTATAATCTGTTGATTTTATCATTTCAAAAAGTGTTTTGGTCTCCAGGAATGAGAATCTGCCAGCGCTCCGTCCTGTGCCTCCTTTCCGCTTGTTAGCTTTAAACTGCAGCAGGTCCTCCTTAAGTCTGTTGATCCAGCGGCAATGTTGCAATACTTATTGCTATTTGACCGTTACTCCGGCTTATGTAAACCGACCTTCACCGACTGATTTTGACCCATACGCGCAATGTGCCTTGACAGATGGGCCTTGTATTCGCCTATAATGTTGGGCTGGTCTTCTATTGCATTTTTGCGGACTCTCCATGACCGATCCTCCCTCCTTGTCGGCCCCAAGATTTTACGCTGTATTTAGCGGTCCGTAACCAATAACTTCTGCTCCTCTTGCACGGTTAGCTTATATACTAAGACCTTGCGCACATATAAAGATAAAGAAAGAGGTAAAAGAAAGTATGAAAAACAAAAACTGTTTACAGTTTTTTAGACTTCATAAAAGCAATTAATTTTTAAATTTAAATTAAATACAACCGGTTCTTTACAGTTCGCTTTTCATTTTAGTCTTCCCAAAGAGAGAATGAGAAATTTTTACTATGTATCAACTGTATTCATAGGCCGAAGCGTTTGCCTTTTTGTCCCGATCGGGTTGATATATTTTCTCACACATATATTTAACTTATAAATATAATAAATAAATTGTATTAAAAACTCCCTGGACACTCCCGTAACATAAACATTTTATCTATTTTAACTTTGTCTTTAGAATATTTTTCAGCATTTACGATATTAGCTTTGATCTTAATAAGCTTTGATATATTAAAAATTCTGAATACCTTATTTACTAAAATATACATAAATCTCTTTTGCATTTTAGGATAACTTTCCAATATTTGATAAATGAAGTATGCTTGAATAAATAGGTAATTTTATAAACACGACTATGCGTTTAGGTAAATAATTTAT